CATTCAAATGGTTAGCCAGAGAAGGGAATTTGATTTGGAGAGTTATAGGAATGCTGACTTTTAATAAAAGGAGAAGGAAGGAAGATGATGACGATGACAACGATGATGATGATGACAATGATGATGACGATAATAATAATTGCTAAAGTGTATTTGGCACTAAGGGGTTTGCAAAGTGCTTTATCTCATTTAACCCTGACAGTAACTTTGTGAAGTAGGTGCTGATATTATACCCATTTTACAGATGAGGAAACTAAAGGTGAAGGAGATTAAGTTGACTTGCCCAGAGTCACGCAGCTAGTGTGTTTCTAAAGCAGAATTTGAACTGAGGTCCTCCTGAATCCAGGTCTAGAGTTCTAACCATTATACCACTCAGCCACCTAGATAGTTTAGACAGATGATCTCTAAGAGTCCTTGTGTTCAAAAACGGGAAGAAGTGTCTCCCTGCATCTCCTCCACCCTGCTGCCTCTCAGCAGTGATGGCAGTAATGGGTTTGCCCTCTCTGAAGGTCTCTGGGCAAAGGCTGGATGGAGGAACAGTTGTCAGAGATGGTGTAGAGAGGATTCTTGTTCAGTTGTCGGTTGGCTCTGATGACCTTTGAGATCAGAGAAACAAAGTTCCGAACTTGTACCTAAAAGGAAAAAGCAATCGTGATCACTGAAGATGAAGCCAAGCCAAGCTGATCCCACAAGCATTTGAGCATCATTCATTTGTGCCAGGCAAAGGCAGTGTGGGAGGATGAACAGAGGACCAGCCTTGGAGCAAGGAAGACCTGGGTTCAATCTCGCCTTTGGCATCTGTTGGCTGTGGGATCAGGGGCAGGTCACTTTCACCCTCGGTGTTCCCAGTTACTGATGCTTTGCTGATTTACATTGATGGAGGGCGAGTGTCCAACCAAGACAAAGTTACTGTTCTGAAGCAAAAAAAAAAATTGTAAAGAGCTAAGCGCTGGGCTCGGTGCTGGGTGTCAACAAACAAAATGAAACAAAAGTAGTCCTTTCCCCAAGGAGCTTACAGCCTACTGGCCTGGGCCAAGAAGTTCTAATGGTTTGTCACTTTCATTTTCCATTCACTTATTGAATGAATGAATGGATGAACAAATGAATGAATGAATGAAAAAAGCACGCTTACTCTCTGTCAGGCACAGCGCTTCTCTGTTGTCTTTTGGGCAGGTAGAACCTTATGAAAGAAGTTGCCCAGCCCTTTAATGGGACCTTTAAGAAGCCTAAAATGTTGTTTCTGAGACACGTTGAAAGCCCCGTCACGCCGGGACATCTTTCCCAAGTCGTGCATTGCCGTCAGTCCCAGCTGGGCCTGGCCTCGGGCTGACGAGAGCCCCCGGCGCAGCCAATTCTGTAGGGCCTTTTAATACACCAAATTGTATTAACGTCAACGTGGATGCAGATGGATGCGCCGCGCTAAACTGGAAACACTTGAGAAAAGCCTTTATTGACTCTCAAGTAAATAATGCACATTTTTGAAGGGCCTAAATATGCATTTACATAATGCTCTCTAATTTTTTTCATTGTGTCGACTCTGGGTGCGCACCACGCTAAGAGCTGTTTTCCCCAGTCGAAAATTTGGAATCGTCGTAGTCCTGTTGCCTCTCAGCAGCAGCGTGCCAGCTTCCGACGAGGGAGCTCTGCCCTTTCTGGGGGTGCATCCAAGGATCTCCAAGCGCGTGTCAGGAAGGCTTATTCAGGTCCCGGTGAAAGCAGCTCCTGTCCGCCCAGTTTTCCTGGTGAAGATCTTACATCAGGAGTTAAGTGGCAGGCCAGATTCTGCCACTGAAAGGTGGCAATCAGCAAGCATTGATTAGGCCCCTACTGTGTGCTGGGCACTGTGCTGAGTGATAGAAAAGTCACAGTCCTAGGCCTCAGGGAGATTGCCTTTAAATACCGCAGACAACATGCACGCTTATCGTCCGGTCGGTGTATACAAAACAGATGCCAGCGAAGCAGCTGAGGGGCCCAGCAAGGCCTCCGAGAGAGGGAGATGCCTGAGCTGAGTTGTAGGAAAACAGGCAGAGGTGAGGAGGGAGGGTGGTCGAGGCGTGGTGGACAGCGAGGGCGGGGACTGTGATGTGGCAGAAACAGCGCAAAGGCCCATTAGATAGGAGAGATACAAAAGCAAGACTGTTTCTCCTCTCAAGAAGCCTCCATCCTATTGGCTTCTCATAATGACCCTGTGAGATAGAATTGGGGAGGGGGACAGACTGCCATTTCATTGGTGGAGAGCACACTTAGAGAGGAAATGTCCACTACCAGGGTGGAATAGCCACTATCAATCAGAAAGCACCTACTATGTGCCGGGCACTGTGCTAAGTTCTAGAGATGCAAAAACAGTACCTGTCCTCAGGGAGGTCACAGTTTAATGGGGGGGGGATATCAAACAATTATGCACAAACAAGATGTAGAAATAGCTGTATTTCTCTGTCTCTGTGATAAATTGGAAATAATTTCAGAGGGAAGGCTCTCCTTGACATTAAGGAGAACTAAGCCAGGAAAGACTTCTGGTAGAAGGTGGGATTTTCACAAAGACCTGAAGGAAGCCAGGAGACAGAGGTGAGAAGGGAGAGCATTGGAGGTATCGGGGCTAGCCATTGAAAGTGGACAAATAAACCAAAAACTTATTTTCTTACCTCTCCTTTCCCATTGGGGGAAAAAATCAAGGAAAAACAAAACCCTTGTAACCAGTATGCTTCATCCACCAAAATGACTTCCCCCGTTGGCCACGTCTACAACACAGACATCTCGTTCTGTAGCCTGAGTCCTTCATCTCTCTAGTTCACCGTGTGGCATCTGTCCTCAGGAATGGTGCTTAGGCATCTTGCTCATCCGACGGCTCGACTCTTTCTGAGTTGTCTGTCTTGTATGAGTCTTTCTCCCGGTTCCACTCATATCTCCTTGGTATGTTCTTGGGGAACATCTCACTTGAGTGTCATCCTGGAGGTTTGGCTGCTGCTGCAAGGGATGCTATAGTCCTGTTCTCCAGTTGTCTGCCAGGTTTTATGAGTTAAATTCAGAGCATAGAATGTAAGCCCTCGGAGAGCAGGCACGCTGTCATTTTCCTTATCTTTATCTCCCCAGCACCTTGCACAGTGTCTAGAATATAATAAACCCTAAATCAATGTCTGTTGAATAGAATGAGAAGAATAATGACCAGCCATCATTTGGGGAGGGGCTTGGCAATGTACAGGAACTGGTTCATCTTTATCTTTATCATCATCATCCAGCACAGTGCTGAGAGAGTAGCAAGTGCTTTAAAAATGCTCATTCACAGAATCATAGCTTTAGAGCCAAAAGATAACTTCAAGACCATTGAGTCCGACTCTCTTATTTTACAGGTGAGGAAACTGAGGCACAGGGAAATTTAAGTGACTTGCCCAGGGTTACACAGCCAGTTGGTTTTCAAGGTGGATTTGAGCCTAAGTCTTCCTGACTCCATTCCAGGGCCCAGTTGATTGACTGGTTGGTTGGCTGAAAAGAACGTGGCATAGTAAAAAGAACGTTGGTCTCAGAATCAGAAAGTTTGTGTCCTAGCTCTGATACTGACGTGTTAGTTACATATCTTCAAAAATCATTTTCCTTAAAAAAATAAATAAAAATAAATGAAAGAATAATTTTCCTTGGGGCAGGTAGGTGGCACAATGGATAGAATACCAGTTCTGGAGTAGGGGGACCCGAGTTCAAATGTGACCTCAGACACTTGACATGTAACTGGCTGTGTGACCCTGGGCAACTCATTTAACCCCAATTGCCTCGCCAAAAAAAAAGAATCAGTTTCCTTTTTAATTTTCTCATCAGCAAATTAGTGAGAAAGTTCAGTGATACTTGAATAACCTGCCTAAAAGGGGTTGGGAGAAAGGTTTCTTAGCCGTACAGTGTCTTAAACTGTAAAGATGAGTTACTGTCTGGTAACTGAAGGCCACATTCAGATGACCTCATCATGTATTCTCTTCAGTAAAGCACCTATTAAGCACTTGCTGTATACAGAGCACTGATGGAGATACCAAGTTAACTAATGACTGACTTGGCCCATGCCCTCATGGAGCATGTGACCTCCTGAGATTGAGTTAAAGACTTTCAACCCTTCCCATGTACAGCTTTGGCCTCATAGTGACTTTTATCAATCCTCCTCCTAAGCCAGGGGCAAAAATTTTTACATACTTTGGATAGGTTTCTTTAAAAAAAAAAAGCAACTAATGTAATTTCCTTCTTGTACAAATGAAATTCAGCAGGGTTTGTATATAAGGGAGTTCTCACCGTCTGCCTCTTCTCAGTTTGCATGGGCATCGAGCCAGCATTTCAGCAGGGGTCACTCCTTCCCTCGGCATGTGGGTTCCCACCCTGGGACGTGGAGCATTTCAGAGTTTAACTTTAGAACTGTAAGGCGGACAGACAGATCAGCCTTGAGGCAAAGAGTGCACCCCTGCTTCTTCATCCTGCTCTCCCTTCCCATCTCCCCTGCCCCCCAGTAATGGCTCAGGTTAATACATGATCATGTGCTCCATCCTTCCCAAAAAGTTCATCCGGAATTAGTCCCTCGAAATTTCACTGAAAGGGGGACAAGAGCTTTAAGAATGAATTATTATCCATGGGTCGTTCAGAATGAAAGGGGATCCATATGTGAAAACTGGAATTTGTCATCTATAGTGTCAGTTAAATCAAACCTAATCTACTAGATACATTTTTTATTGCTTGCTTCATTAAAAAAGCTCTTAAGGTAATGAATAATCTTCCATTTCACCCAGGATTATTAATGCCTTTATAACTCATGTCCACTGAAAATACAAAGGCAGCTTGAAATTCTCGCTTAATCCAGACTCCGTGTTGTCTTAAAGAGCCCAGAGAAGCAAAAACACATCAGGGCTGGCCATTTTCAGATTGGTCACTCGAGGAATTCTGTGAGCCCTGTGCAATGGAGGAGATGCCGGGGACAAGAAAAAAATCTCCCTTCTTCTAACTGTTGTTGTTTTTTTTCTTTATTTTTCCCACAGCAAGTCCACATGCGACCCCATCAACTCTACATTTCCCGACATCTCCCATTATCCAGCAGCCTGGGCCCTACTTCTCACACCCGGCAATTCGCTACCACCCTCAGGAGACGCTGAAAGAGTTTGTCCAACTTGTCTGTCCCGATGCTGGTCAGCAGGCCGGACAGGTGGGGTTCCTCAATGTAAGGACCCTTTTTTTGGTAAATTTCTTGGGAAATGTTAATTTCATGTAAAACTAGCCACAGTGGGGATGGGGGAGTCTTCTCAGGCACCATTGTGCTCTGAGGACACGTTCACTGACTCCCCTCAGATGTCAGGTTTGCTCGAGATTGTGGGAAAGTTAACTGGTCACAGCAATATTTGTGTTAAGTCTGCAACTGTCGGGCTTGGGGAGATAAATCATGGCACGGATGAGCTCCCTAACTTTCCAAGGTCTGGGGGCTGGTAAGTCAACCTCGTGCATTCTAACCTCAGTTCCTGTAAGGGTTAACAAAATAGGAAAAAATGCAAATCATTTATTCAAAATTATATGGGGGAGTGATTGGAAGGGGTGGGGGGAAGTCAGGGGGACAGATGTTTTGAATCAACCGAGTTGATTTGGGGGAAAAAATACAGCTTTATAGAACTTTAGATCAAGTTGACCACTTCTTGAACTCCAGATGCCAAAAGCAAAGTTTATTACAGTTTGTTATTTCTGTAAGCAGTTATCTTTCTCACTTATCTTGGTATAAAGTTAAATGGGATTTGATAGCTTCGAATGAGTGTTTTCATTCTCTCCTTCCCCCCCCCCCCCGCAAATAAACTGAATAATCGCATGATTGAAATAACATTCTACTTGAATCCAGAAATGATAAGGTGACGATAAGTGGAATTTTAAATATAGGTCTCAGTGGTTTTGGTTTGGGGTTCTTTTGGGGGGAGGGGGAAGAGGGGGAGTTTGCTGCATCACCAGACAAAAACCAGGACTATGGAAGCAAGTGGGTTCTTCTCCTTATCCTAATGTCCAGATTGCTCACATACCCACAGATTAGCCCTAATTCTCACTGCCCAGTTAAGGATATTTCTGTAATAAGTCACTCTGTCCTCACCCCTGGCTTTTGCTCCCCCTCCTGCCCCTCCACCCCCTACAAAAATACCTGATTCTGCACATCTGAGCCAGGACTGACAGCTTTGACTAATGTCTAGTGATATGTTAGCAGATACATTTCTGTCTAGACAACAAATCAATAGAATGTCTTTTTTTTTTCATTTGCTTGTGTATTCATGTGCCTTGCTTCTCCTAAAGCATTCGCTTATGGACTTTCAGCCCTCTCTGAAATAGCACTCACTGAGCGGGTTTGCTGGCAGAGCGATTCAAGGTTCTGTTTGTCAGACCCCATGGTCTTCCAGAACCAACTAAATGTCTAAGCAAATTGGGGTGGGGACAGAGGGAGAGATGAAGTGAGAGGAGGGAGAATGTTCCTACCAAATTACTTAAGCTTAAAAAATGAAACCCCGGGATAATGGGATTTTCACCAGCCCCATTTTGATTTGACACTATAGCTTCAAGACTGGAGCTATCCTCAGTGGAATACTGGCCATTTGATACCTAGGCAAGCAATAAGATCTTGTTGGGAAGTGATGCCAAAACTCATCTGGTCCCCAGCACTGTATCTGACTAGTAAATGATCCTTCTTCTTTCTTTTTTTCTTTCTTTTCTTCCTTCCTTTCTATCTCTTTCCTTCTGACCTTTTTTCTTCTTTCCTTTTTCTTTCCTTCCTTTCTTTTTTTCTAGCTAGCTCTTTCCTTCTGACTTTTTTCTTTCCTTTTTCTTTCCTTCTTCCTTTCTTTTTTCCTTTCTTTCTGTCTTCTTTCTAGCTAGCTCTTTCTTTCCTTCTGTTCTTTTTTCCATATTTCTTTGCTTTTCCTTTTTATTTCCTTTCCTTTATTATTTCCTTTCTTTTCTTTCCTTCTTTCTTCCTTTCCTCTTTCCTTCCTTTTTTCTTTCTTCTCTCTCTTCCCTTTTGATCTTTTTTCCTTCATTATTCCTTATTTCCTTTTTCATTCCTTTATTCTTTTTTCCTTCCTTCCTTTCTTTTTTCCTTTTTTCCTCTTTCTTTTTTCCTCTTTTTCTTTCCTTCTGTCCTTTTTCTTCTTTCTTTCCTTTTTCCTTTCCTTCTTTCATCCTTCCTTCTCCCCTTTCTTTCTTTCTATTTTTCAGCAGCTTTGACATTATCTCACATATCTCTCAAATTCCTGTTTTTACGCAATTGTGAAAATTTTCTCAATCTCAGCTGGCCTCCTTAAAAGGGGATCATTTCAAAAAAGCTTTTTAACAAATGCCTCTTTTTAATGCTGTGGAAAGTATTTTTCAAAGAACAATTTCTCCTTTAAAAGAGCTGTATGCTTTGTTCAGCCCTCCCGTCATCATTCCACCAAAGAAGTTGGGCTTTGTGGTATATTCTACCTTACAAAAATTTGCATCCAGAATCCAGGTTGAACTGCCATCTTGAGCGGGAATTGGATGACAACTGAATCTGAAAGTTTCTGCTTCTGGTGTTAGAGACTGGGAGGAAAGGATTTTTCAAATGGTTAAATGTATTTGTTAAGTGTAATATAATGTTGGATTTCTAAGCCAGAGTCAAACATGCTTTTCTTCTCCAGTTCCGGAGTCTAAGGAGTATCTCTGTAGTTAACTATAAGAGGATGCAATCGCTAAGCAGGCGCTTTGCAGAGCTTAGCTCATCAAAAGTATTCCATGATAGTGATGACAATCACTTATTCAGAGTAGCTGCATCCCCAGCCAAAGTGCCCACGTGAAAAATTCAGACTTTCCCCCCAAATGTCATTTTATGTAAACTGATGCAAAGAAAAGGTTCTAAAATACATTTTATCTGCCCTACTAAGAATGTACTTTTGTCAAGTGCCTTGAATTCCAAACCAGAATAATCCTGCATGTGCATATGGTCTTATGAAAGGCTTCAGCTACTCCTTAAGTACAGAGCACTTAATAATGTGTATTGGAAGCAAGTGATGATTCTCTCATGGCTGACGTCTGCCTCTTTCACTCTGACAGCCCAATGGTAGCAGCCAAGGCAAGGTGCACAATCCGTTCCTTCCCACCCCAATGTTGCCACCGCCACCTCCGCCACCAATGGCCAGGCCTGTGCCTCTGCCCGTGCCAGACACAAAGCCTCCGACCACATCGACAGAAGGAGGTGCCACCTCGCCCACCTCACCGAGTAAGTATGGCTTAGGCCAGCCTACCCCACCCCTACCACCTCCCCTGTGACCAGTCCGTCATCTCTGTCAAACCCCGGAAACTGACTCTTCCCAGCTGGTATACCACAGCAGATGGGGTAGTCACGGACCCAAGGATATGCCGAGAAGCCGCTTAGCTCCTAGCCCCAGTGACCTTTCAGGTACTCTGGACACGCCCATGACTCTGTGTGGCTGACTGATCAGGTGTTTTTATATAACCACATAATCAAACCTGAATTTGTAGTTGAAAGGGGTGGGTGGATGAATCAGCTGTGGTGTTGAGGAGTAATGGCAGAGATGGCTGAGTACAGGTCTTCTTCAGCATCAGCAGGACCCATCCAAGATGCACCCAGTTACCCATGTTGTGGTCAGCGTATAGATACAGCTCCTTATAGTTCCTGCTTTCTGAAAACTCACACTTCTAGACAGACACCCTAATAAGGACGCCTAGGTACAGACACAATGAATGTAACAAGGTATAGCACAGAAACAATGAATATCAATATAAAACCAACACATGAATAGAGAGGGACATCTATGTGGGCAAAGAGCATTGCATTTAAAGGGTGAGAGAAGAGGAGGAAATCCATTACTAAGCAAAGCTTGGAGAGAGAAACAGAGGCAATTTCCTATCTAGATTTGGGGCAGGAGGGGAGAGAAAGCAAAGAGATTGGAGCTGCCTGCTTGTCTCTGATGCGGGAGTGAAGGAAGTGGTGCTTTTTTGAAGAGAGTCAGGAGGTGGAGATGGGATGAACAAGGAAAGACAAATCTAACTGCATATGTCAGAGACACATGAAGGGTTAACTAGCGCAGGTGAAGGAAGGGAGATCCCTCGCCCTCTCTGGGACCGGGTTTTGAGGCCGCTCTGGCCATTTTGGTGAGAATGATAGGAAGAAGACGAATGTGGGAAATGGATAGAAAGAAGCTACTCAATTGGGAAAACATTTAGACCTGGGAGGCCTTTATGTGGGGAGGGTGTGGATGTTTCACGGTGAAAATTTTCATCTGCTTGCCACCGGGGTTATCTTGGGTAAGTCTGCTCATCCCTCTGTGGCTGTTTGCTCAGTTGTGAAATAAAGGAATTGGACTCCACCTCCCTAGGGCAGTACTTGGACAGCAGACCCCGTCTGTCACGGGATCGTACTTACTAGCTTTTCAGCCTGGGAGATTCTGCCAAGGCTGGTCCTCTATGGGTATAGCCGATAAGATCGAGCCTCTATGAAAAGAGAAAATTCTTACCCTGGAGAGCTCTCCAAAAGTGTCATGGCGGTGGCTTCCTCCCCAGTGGAAGTCTTCAGCCAGAAGCTGGGAGACCATTTGTCAGGAATATTGAGGCGGAACTCTATTCACGTGAGGATTAGACTCTCTCGCCCTTGAGGTCCCTTCTAACCTAGAGCTCCTGTGATACTCTGAGCTCACAGTCTCCTCCACATCCTGATGAGATAGGACGATGTGTAAAGATATGTTCGCTGATGGAGCAGAAGTAACCCTGGAGTCACCGGACCTGAGTTCAACTCTCAGCTCTAAAACTTGCCAATCCCGTGACCTTGAGCAACTCTCTTGATTTCTCTGGAGCTCGGTTTGTTCAGCTGTGAAGTGAGGGCATTGGACCCACTGAATCTGAAAGATCCCTTCTGATCCTCAATCTATGATCTTGTGAAGGAAAGCCTCGATTGAAAGTGATCACTAGGTCCTCATCTGTCAGCGACAGACCCACCTTTGCATTTGGTTCAGAAGAAGACCAAGGGAGAAAAGTGAACGCTTTCATCTCTCTTCCAGTTCCAGCTTGAACTGACCCCCATGACATTTGGTCTTGCAGACAGAGCGCTCACCCTCTAGGGACGTGTCGGAAGGGAGAACCGTGGGCACAGAGGCAGAGGTTCTGAAATCGGTGGTCACTGGGTCCATCGAAGTGAGCGGCTTTGGCCGTAGACTTGGCGTGTTTAATGAGATCAAGGCCCAAGAACAGGGCTCTAAGGGCTACTCCCTCCGGAGAGCCCCGGTGTGTCTTGTCTGAAACTTAGAGCTTTAGAGAAAAATACCTTCTTCACTGTGGGAGGGAGGAGAGAAGCCAGAGGTACCATCAGATCATCTACAGTGAGACCTGTGATACAGTCGTTCCTATATGCCAGCGTTGTGCTAAGCACTGAGGGTTCAAAGAGAAAAGGGAGACAGTCCCTGCCCCCATGGCACTTACATCCTAGTAGGAGGAGATAGCACATATGGGAGGAGTCATCAGCTCGGTGGAAGGCAAGGCCAAGCAGCCCTTTGGGCTCCCATAAAGACAGGAGGCCCGTCTGCTTTGGAGTCCAGCCCAGGGCTGGACTGGCTAAACTCAGAAGAGGAAAACTCAGAGGAGAGACAAGTCAGAAAACTTAGAACTGGAACGGACCTCAAAGTCAAATAGCCTAACATTCTCATTTTACAAATGAAGAAACCAAGGTCCAGAAAGGGTCCTGGTATAGCTAGTATTGGACTTAAGGGCAGGAAGATCTGAATTCAAATCCTTTTAGACCATTCTTAACTGTGTGACCCCGGGCAAGTCATTTACCCTCTGTCTGCCTCAGTTTCCTTATCTGCAAAATGGGGATAAAAATGGCACCTACTTCCCAAGGTTATTGTGAGGATCAAATGAGATAATTTTCATGAAGACCTTAATGTGCTTTATAAATGCTAGCTATTATTATTTGACCTGCCCAAAATCTCTGTCGGTAGTAAGTGACACAGCTGGGATTTGAACCCAGATCTCCTGTCTCCACATTCCGTGGTCCCCCACTTCTACTACCCAGAAAGGTGTAAACAGCGACCACCAATACTAGTCATTCCCATGGTCTGGCTCCGGCATAGTGTTGGGGTCTTAGGTCACGTTCTCCAGGGATGCCCCAACCTTTTGTGGGCCCCTCAGTGCAGCGGGGAAGGCGAACCACCCCACGGTTTGGCCCTGGGCTTCGGGGCCAAAAGCTCCCAGAGGAGCAGCCGATAGGAACGCTGAAGCCATTGAGAAGATTCTCCCATGTTCCCCTGTGTTAGTCAGGCTTAGACTGTGGTCTTTGCCACGGTAACGTCTTGTTTGTCATCTCCACATTTTCCACTTCATTAATAAGACAGTGACATACGGTGAGAGTCATCATTTACTTCCCCAATCCTGTGTCACTCTAATGAAGAGCTCCAAACCCACTCGTTTCCTTTGTGATGCTGGCTGCCGCCCCCTCCCCGAGCCGAGGCTCCCCTCTTCTTCATCAAGTCGGGGGTTGAGGAGACTTGGGAGCGCTTTAGTCCCACCTCCTCCTTCCAGCCAGAATCCCTCCTGTGACATACCTGGTGGGCCATCATGCAGCTTCTGCCTGAAGCCCCCTAAGACTTTTGTATGCCTCCCACGTGAGTCACAGCTTTCCTTGTTATAGAGAGAACCTTATAGGAACTGGGCAGGAATGAGAGAGATTGGACCTTGACTAGCTGGAGGAGCCTGGCCAGGTATCTGGTGCCTCCACATCCCCATTCCACACCTCTCCCCAGAAGAATGTAAGCTCACTGAAGGCAGGAAGCGTTTTGTGTTTACATTCCTATCCTCAGCGGCCACTGCAGTGCCTAACACATTTATTTTTTGAAGCAGACCCATGGGAGAGGGATTGCTCAATTAGAATACTCTGTCTCCCAGTGCAGGTTGACCGCTGCTTGACAGATTCTAGCGTCAGAAAGTTGCCTGGGTCCATTGAGGCATGATATGACTTACCCAGTATTCCCCAGCCACATTGTCTCAGAGGAGAGACTTGAACCCAAGCCCTCATGATTCCAAGGCCAGCTCTTTATCCTCTCCATTTAAAAGATAGAGTGCTTGCCTGGGAATAAAGAAACTCGAGTTCAAATTCCATCTCAGACACTAGCTGTAAGTCACTGGGCAGATCATGTCACCTGTCTGAGTTTTCTCTTCTGTAAAATGAAGGGATTGGACCCATTGACATCAGGGTTCCCTTCCAGCCCTGACTCAGTGGTTCTAGGCTACAATACCGTGCTGCCTCGTGCCCACCATATACATAGGAGGATGTTAGAAAATGCTTTCTCAATTGAAACTGTAAGATGGGGAATTATCTCTATCTTATGGGATTTTTTTCAAGTAAATACTCTGTAAATTCAGAAGTACTAGTTGGAAAAAAAAACAAGTTAGCTTTGTGACTTCACAGCCTCCCATATTGGTTAGCTCTAATTTTTAATAGTTACTTAATAATTTCTAATACAACAAAATCTTCCCTGAGACTTCCACCTGCCAGTTGGTCCTAATTCTGTTCTCTGGGGTAGCCCTAGTCCAAAGGAATTATCTTAACAGTTGAAGGTAATTATCCCACCTTAGTCCACCCCTAAATATCCTAAGCGATCTTTTCCCTCATTCCATAGGTCATGATTTTCTGTCCCCTTTGACATGATGGCAGCCAGCTTCTCAGCATTGTCTGTCTTGTCAGTGTCTAGAATGTGGAACTGAGCACAGAACTCCATGTGTAATCATCATCATTATTATTATTAGCATTCATGTAGCACAAGTTGGGTTCTTAACTTTTTGGGTGAGTTATAGACTCCTTTGTATTTCTGGGGATGCCTATGGACTCCTTCTCAGAGGCATCTTTTTAAATACATAAAATAAAGTACACAGGTTCAAAGGGACACCAATTATATTGAAATATAGTCATCAGTATGTTTGTATGTACACACACACACACACACACACACACACACACACACACACAGAGTCAGTGGACCCCCTGATCCAGCCGAGCCCAGAATTGAACAAGAATGCCCTCCACATCATTCTCCCGAATTGCTTTTCTGGCTTTTGACTCAGGAGAACCAGTGATGGGGGGCCCACTGTTTGCCAATGTAGCACTTTCTACTTTTTGTTATTCAGTCGTTTTTCAGTCATGTCTGACTCATCATGACTCCATTTTGGGGGTTTTCTTGGCTGAGATGATTTGGTTGGCCATTTCCATCT